TTATTTTTGATTGCCACTGTATATCTAATTTATAAATTTATTTCTTGAAATATAAAATTATATTTTTAAAATATTTAAATAATTTTTAAAATATTTTTATAATAATTTTATATTTAGAAAATACTATATTTTATAAATAAAGAGTAGTTTTAATTTAATTTTTTTTTTACTTAAATTTGATTTATAATTTTATTTTATATTATATATTTTATATAATTTATTATTAAATATCAAGTTTTAAAAATAATAATAATGAAAAAATATAGTAATAAAGAATTATTATTAGTAAATTTATCTTAAATCTTATTTATTTTCTAGAAATTTAATATAAAAATCTTATATTTAAAGAGCTTTTACTATATTATAAAGTAATATTTAAAAAATTGATAATAATATAATAATTTTTATAATTAAAAAATTAATTTTATTAATAAAATATAATAAAATATAATTAAAAAATTTTTATATTAAAATTTATAATTTTATTAATAAAAAATAAAATTTATAAATTATAACTTAATATATATTTTTTTAGAATTTTTAAATATTTTTTGAAAGAATTATTTTAAATATAAAATTATTATAAATTTTTTTTAATTAAAAATAAAATTTAATTAAAAAAATTTTGTATTAACTTTGTATTTAAAATAATTCTTTCAGAAAAATCCAAAAAATATATATTAAATTATAATTTATATTTATTTTTATTAATAAAATTAACTTACTAATTTTATAATTATATTTTAAATATAATATTATAATTTAAAAAATATTTATATTATAATAATAAAAATTTTTTGTTAAAATAAAAAAATAATTAATAAAATAAGTATTATTATATATAAATTAATGATTAGATATATAATCAGATCTTTTTATAATTATATCTCTTTATAATTATCTTTTTTTATAATTATTTTTTTAAACATCTCTCTTTAATTACTTAATTTTGCTTTTTTTTAAGTATGATAACTATAAAAAAATCTGATTATATTTAAAAAAATATTTAGAAATATATAAAATTATTTATTTAAAAAATTATTTAAAAGATAAATATATATTATATAATATTTAATTATTATAAAATTAATCTTTTCTTTTTTTTAAATAAGATTTTTATTATTTAATTACAATAATAATCAAAAGTAATATAACAATTAATAAAAAATTTAAGCATTGCATTACTTTTAATTATCACTATATATATAATTTTGAGAAATTACTGGTTTTAAAAATTTGAATAAAATCTAAAAATAGTAAATAATATTTTAAAATACTTTTAAAAATTATTATTATATAACCTGTATGGTAATTTCACTGATAACTGTAAAGAATATATTCTATATTTATTCATTTCCATACCTTCAGTTGTCTGCAATAGAGATGTCTTTCATTAGAATAACCAGTAATTCTTTAATTTGATTGGATCAGATTGGGCCTAACTGAACTAATAATCGATCATTTACACAACATAATCGACAAAACCTGACACATATATATTTAAATTACTTAATTTTGTTTACGCGTTCATCAATAAAAAAGTTAAACTTCCAAGAAAAAGGTATACTTCGAATATTAGATTTTGCTAATAAAGGAAAAATAATTCATTAATAAAAAGTATAAGAAGTTATGGAATGAAATCGAAAAGAATATAGAAAGAGAAAGTATCAGTTTAGGCGTTATGAGAAGAAAGCAAGCGGAGCATATTCGGCAATTACAACTTTTAAGAAATTATCAGTCGTGTCAGTGCGACAGTAAAGAAGTTATTAAAAGAACTAGCCATTAATTTATTATCCTTAATAAAGAAGCCGGTAGTCCGATTAGCTTTACCGGAAGAAAGTAATTGATATAAAAATGGGGAGGGATTGAGTTAGGAGAGTGGTTTAGAGAAGTGTAAAAATTTTATTGGTAAGTGCTGAGTTGCAAGAAGTTAGAAAGGCCAAGAAAATATTAACTCACTTCAAAAAAGTAAAGAGCAATTAAAGGAAAAGTGAGAGTGTAAGTGTAAGCTATAAGCCACGATCTCTTTATTATTATAGTGATAAAAATGGTTATATTTATTGTAAATGGTGTGAGAAAGAAATAAAAGAAGCCGGAAAAATGGGAGTAATTAAAAATAGGAATGATTCGAGGTTTTGAGGGTTAGGAAGGAGACGTAAGTTATGAAATTTTCGGATAAATTGGAAAGAGTAAATTAATTTTCCTGCTCATAGCGTTTCTTTCTTTTGATATATGATTCCTCAATTTGCTTATACTTTTTGTCGGTTACTTTACGTAGAGTTTCACGATGTTTTTTTTGTTCTTGCTCCACTAATTCATTAGCTTTACTTGCACCATAATTATAAGCGTGTGAGAAAACAGGCACAAAATTTATTGCTTGACCCCAGCCAAATTGCGTTGAAGCTCGATCCTCTCGTTGGGAAGCTTGCTTCTCTACTTCCGTTTCATATTCCTTTCGTTTTTCATCACATTCGTCAAACTCCCGCATAAGTTCATTTATGTCAACTAATGCCTGTGTTTTCAAGCGGACAATTTCCTCTCGAGCTTGACGAAGTTCTTCCCGTAATTGTTCCATAATTTGCTCTTTGACCATATTTTTGTAGTCTATTTGTAATTTAAAAAAAACTTTGAGTGGCTAGGGTATAAGAAACCTATTATTCAGTAAAATTTATCTTAATTGACGATCCGCGAATGAAGGAGAATTAGCAATTAGTGTTACACTGGGGTCGATCAAATACGGTGGTGATCATGAGAAAAGACAATCGTTAAAATTATTCTAGTTTCACAACCATTAAACCATTACGTGAATTAATATAAACAATACATCATTTTAAAGCCAAAACACTATTATAAATAATTTAATAGGGATATTTTATATCTTTCCAATTCGCTAATATTCTTGGGCATACATCTCTCCACATTTGTCTTGACAATTGCCCAAAGATTTTCAATAGGGTTTAGGTCTGTTCTATTAGAAGCCCAGTCCATAACCGCTAGGACATTATCATTAAGAAATTTTTTAGCAATGTGACTAGTATACTTTGGGTTATTATGCTTCTCTAATATTTTTTTTCCATCCATTTTACACCTAAAACAGAAGAGACTTGAACTATTTTGTGGGCTGACATAAATAAAAAGCATAAGCGTTCATCTATTTGTTTTTTTAAACTACAAAGTATGGTAAAAGTAGAAGAGCAGACTATAGAGCAATTACGTGAAGAACTTCGTCAAGTTCGAGAGGAAATTGTTCGCTTGAAAACACAAGCATTAGCTGATATAAATGAACTCAAGCTGAAGTTTGAAGAATATATTGACAAACAAAAAGAATATGAACTTGCAGTAGAGGATCAAAATTCCCAACGAGAGGATCGAGCTTCAACGCAATTTGGTTGGGGTCAGGCAGTAAATTTCATACCTATTTTTTCACATGCTTATAGTTATGGTGCAAATAAATCCAATGAATTAGTGGAGAAGGAACAAAAAAATCTTCGTGAGACTCTAAGTAAAACAACCACTGAACAATTTCAGGAAGTTCGGAAATTATTTAATGATATCAAAGAAAGAGACTGCTATAAACAAGGAAATAACTTTATACTTACAAACACATTCTAATTTCTTTTTAATTTTTGGAGTGTTTTACTGAACGACGCAACATCTTCTTGGCCCCTTTTTCAAGGCAATCACAATTTCTTAAATGCTCTCTATCTTCTTGCCACCTACTCGCGCACTCAGCACTTTAAAGTTTTACACTTCTCTAACCAATCTCCTATTCCCATTTTTTATATCACCCACTTTCTTCGATAAAGCTAATCGAACTACTGGTTCACCCAGTTTTTTTATTAAGCAAAGAATAGCAAACTAGTTGCTGGTTCTCTTACAAATTTTAAGCGTCTACTTCTTTACTGTCACATTACATGACTGATAATTTCTTAAAAGTTGTAATTGATTCGCTTGCTTTCTTTTTTGGTGCTTAATAATTTTTCATAATGCCTAAACTGATGCTTTTTCTTCCATTCTATATTTTTCTTATACTTTTGCTGATGAATTACTTTTTTCCTTACTAATTTCCCTTTTAGCAAAATAAATTATTTCTGATTACTTTTTCTACAACCCGAAATATATTTTTTTCTTTGGAAGTTTTAACTTTTTTTCTGTGTGGTATTTTATTAGCTTATGTAAACGCGTAATCAAATTTAACATTTAGTAGGTAATGAATATATTCTATATATCTTTTTTGTTTTTTAATACTTCAAAACAATAAAAAAATATAAAAAATAGATATATAATTCTTAGTAATATTTTTTACTTGTTAATGATAATAAAATAATATGTAATAAAATTTACCTAATGATGATGTGGGGCTGGAAATTTTCTATGATTTTTAAAAGAAATAAATCTTGCTAGTTGTTGGACTTGCTGCTGTTTCAGAATTTTAAGTTCAAAAGAAGTTAGAATTAATTGATGTCAAAGTATCTTTCTATAATACAAATATCATAGCAAAAATTATTATAAAGTTCATAATGGTTCACAAAAATATAAATATATTATTTTTTCAGTTTGTTTACATTGAGATCATCTAAAAATGATCAATAATTAACAATTATATCAGAAAATTTTTTGGGATGATTTGTATCAATTTTTATCTTTAATTATATATTGATATATATCAGAATCATTGATGCATATTAAAATAGATATTTGGTATATATTGATATATATTGAAGTTATTAATATATATTATTTAATAATATAGATTATTAAATATTATTATTTAATAATATAGATCATTAAATATCATTATTTAATGATATAATCAATCATCTATTTGTGTAATGCAGTAGATGTGACATAACATATAATATAGCAGTAGCATGTGATGCAGTAATTACTGATCACTACTAAATCAGATAAACAAGAAATTTATATTAATTAATCTTATTTATAATTAATTCTATTTTTAATTTATATAGTGAATTCTCTCTAATATTCATACTATTAATATTCATCTCTCTTTATTAGTAATAGTAATTATAGAATAGATTTCTTTATATATAAATTACTTCACATATATCAATTAGGAATATCATATTCTATTGATATCCCTATCAACATATATTAGATTTTATTTCTAATTAATATATCTTACTGATATTAATATTAATATAAATTAGTATTTTAAAATTTAAAATTCTGATTTACAATATCATATATTTACTATATAATATCTCTTTACAATATGATTTGTATCCTATTATATATACTAAAGTATAAATATATATTAAAAGTGGAAAACAAAAAGAAAAAATTAAATGCAAAAATGACAGTTTACATATTTTTCATATATAATAAATAGATTATTATCTAATAAAATCTGAATTATTTGAATATCATGTTATATAAAATTCATGTACTGTCTTAAAAATTCATACTGAACAAAATAATAATCATGAATAAGAAATCAGAATATCTATGAAAGAAATAAATATACTTGATTATAAAGTTAAAACAAGAAATATGATTATAATTAATTTTTAAAAAGAAAAAAAAATTCTATCTCTAGATGTAAAAAAAGAATAAAAAGTTTTTTACTCTATTATTTATCTTGAATACTATTAGAATAAAATTAATTATATTTGCTTTTATCTTTCTAAGAATATATTAATTATTTTTTGTAATATTTAAAAAATCTGATATTATAAATTAAAATATATAGTTTTGATTCTAAAAATTATAATTTAATTTTGAAAAATATTAAAACTAATTAATATTTAAAATATAAATTTATCTAATTTATTAATTATTAATTAGATAATTAAGAATAAATAAAAATAAAATAATTTATCTTTTGTAATATTGTTACCATTTTAAGATTATACGTATATAATTATTTTAAAATAATAATAGTGACTGTATTCATGGCAGTTATTTATTTTTATGACTTCAAGAGTTTATACGACTGATTATTCTTTCAATAAGGTGATGTGTATAAGATTTATTTCTAATAAAATATGATTGTCTTCTCAATAAGATAATTTATACGTGTTTTACTTATAATAAAAATATGATTATCTTCTCAATAAGATAATATATGTGAATTTACTTCTAACAAAATGCTCTTCTTAATAGAGCAAGAAGAAAATAAGATAAGATATAAGATAAAATATATGTGTTTATTAAAGAAAAATATTAATTAACTATTCTTAACTTAGTAATAATTACTTCTATCAAACTTAATTATTTTTCTTGATCACTTCTTGACTCTCTATATATAGTATTTTCCTTGCTATGCTAATTACAAATCATTTCTAACATGATATTTCACTTAATTTTCTCAAGAACAAGTAAAATTACTAAAGAATAATCACAAAGAATATTAAATACATGATAATAAAGAATTTAAATTAGTGAAATATTAAGTTATTTAAAGATAAAATAAGAAAAGAAAGAAAATTAATAATAATTAATTAGGAGATTATTAATTTAATAAAACTATAAATTAAGTGTGATACACATGACTATTTTAATAAAATAATAAGACTAAATATAGGTAATAATATGAGTTAAAAATAGAATTAATTATAAATAAGATTAATTAATATAAATTACTTATTCACTTGATTTGATAGTGATCAGTGATTACTATGCCACATGCTACAGTTGTGCCATATGCTATGTCTTATCTATTACATCATATAAATAGGTGATTGATTACAATACATAGTAGAATAATATAATAGAAGATTATTTTTAATTTTAATAAAATAATTATACTTGGATAATCATCTCAAATATTTTTTCTCATTCTTTGATATTCTTTAATATTCTTTGATATTTTTTAATATCTTTTCATATCTTTTAACATCTTTTCATATCTTTTCACATCTTTCAATATCCTTTTATGTATTCTGATATTCTTTAATATACTTTGATATCTTAATTAAATTATATATAATAATAAAATCATATATATATTATTATTCAAGTAATAAATAATTTATAAATTTA